AATTATTTATTTTTATTTTATTAAGAAACTAGTCTTTCTTCATTTGTTTTACTTTTAGAGCAATTTCTCTAGTAACTTAGAAATGTTGGAAGCGCTAACAGATTCTATATGTATGTAAAAGAGTATGACTGAAAATAAAATCATTGTTATAAAAATTTAAAATGCTATTTACAAATATAACTTAACATTTATTCTCTTGTGATTGATAAAAAAATTAGAGATAAAATATTTACTTTTTTAAATAAATGGGAATTTATAAAGAAGAAAACCAATTTTGTCAAAACATGTTTATTTAGATTTTAAGCAATGAATTCATATGGAATAGGAGCAAGTAGAACAGGTTCTTCGCGTCCTGACACAATATGTGCTTTCGTTGGTTCAGCAGGCTGTCTTTTCAATTGAACTTTCAGGTTGTTCTTCTTTGCTTCTTTCCTGAGTCTTTCATTTTCCTTTACACGTTTCAGAAAATCTTCTCTACATTTTGAATGAGTTAAATGTTCAATGCGGACATTGATTCTCTTGGCAATAATACGTCCACGTACTCTTTTATTCACAATAACACCAAGAGCATGAGGGGTTACATTAAATACACGTCCAGTTTTTCCATGATAAACTTTATAAGGCATTCCTTTTTGGACTGCTCCATTGCCTTTAATGTCAACGATATCTCCAACTTTATATACTTTCATATATGTGGAGAGCGGTATTGTTCCATGTTTACGGAACTTTCGAGAGAACAAGTCTCTGGTTCCACGACGATAACCCTTTGAATTCGTCATTGTTGTACTTCAATCTGTAAAATGTAAAAAGTAGATGATGTTCTATAGAAATTCTTTTCAAATGCTACCGTTAGCAATATAAGGTTATAAAATTTTCGATATCTTATTTTCTTTACACAATTTTATATATTAATATAAAAATTCAAAATTATAATAAATTTAAGAAATAAAGACATAAATTTATTAGAGTATAAAACAATTTATTATGAAATACGGAAGTTAATTGGCACGTGCTAACGTGTTCGGTAGAAGAATTCAATAAAATGTGATACTTTTTCTTCAATCAAAATAATATGTTAAATATACGTGAAATAATTCTGATAAACTTTTTCTACACATAAACACAGATACAACATTAATACTGTCTAAGTATTATAAATTTCTTTATAAATATTGTGAAACGTACAAGAAGCAGGTTCGGCCACTCGCGTCAAGAAAAAAGAGAAGTTAAGAGTGGTAACTTAAGTATGTATGCACAAAACGTACTGTACAACACAATCGATAATCGACATTTACAATATGTAACATGCAAATCTACTTTTTACAGTCATAATAAATCAATAATAGAGTTTTACCAGTAATAGAGCAGCTTAGAATTGCATTAGTAAATAATATTGTATAATAAAGTACAAATTGTAATTTTAATGATGACAACAAAAAATTTGACCAGATCCTTTAATGTAATTTTTAAAAATGAAATATTAAAATAATGCAAATTAAGCAAAATACATTTATTTCGTTTAATAATATCCCCAAATTAATGCAGTAACAATATTAATTAATAATACAGTAATGGATCCTAGCTCTGCGCATCTCCAGGTCGCAGCTTGATCCGTTAGCAAGTACCGACATAGAAATTTCCTTTGCTCTGATTGGCTAATGATTTACTGCGGATTGGAAACGCAGTAAAATGGTGCGCGTCAACTTAGGGAGTAAGAAAAGCGTGCAGGAGTGTAGATCTCATTACTGCATGTGTTTATGTGATCCAATAAGATTCTCTCATAGTTCAAAATTACAGACACAAGATTGCGCTTCATTGTCGCAGAAGTTTCCTATCTATTACTCATCCAATCATTTACCCCGGTGCATGACAGTTGTTTTCTGAAAATTCATCGCAAGGTGTAAACTATTTTGCAACTTTTTATTGTTTGTTAACATTGCATTATTAAACAATGGTACGTCTTTTATATATTTTATTATACCTTGGTGTCATAGAAAGTATCTTTCATAAGTAATTGTAGTATTTGCAAAGCTGAATATACTATTAAGGAATGATTATATATCTGAAATTATAATTAAAAATTTTTTTTATTAAAATCTGTATAAAATTATTTAACATTATTATCTTTAGTACTTGTCTTATTAAGGAACAAACTCATCGTTCCGAAATAATTTTTAAAGTTATAGTAGGATTCTAACCATAATTGTAATATATGTTATTTATAATTTATTTTCAGTTCCGTAACCAATACGATAGCGACGTAACGGTATGGAGTCCACAAGGTCGTTTACATCAAGTAGAATATGCAATGGAGGCTGTAAAATTAGGATCAGCCACTGTTGGTCTTAAAAATAAGACGCATACAGTCCTTATAGCGTTGAAACGAGCCTCTTCTGAACTTTCAGCGCATCAGAAAAAAATTATTCCTATAGACAAACATATGGGAATATCAATTTCAGGTCTAACAGCAGATGCTAGAATGTTAAGGTATATAATATAGTTTAGTTTCAATGTATTTTATATTAATATATTTTACTATAAATCTTTATCGTATTAACGTTATTAATTTATATTCATATATAACAGTCGATACATGCGAACTGAATGCTTAAACTACAAATATTCTCATGATGATGTATTACCTGTGAGTCGTTTAATGGCATCATTAGGAAATAAATTACAAACTTGTACTCAAAGATATGATAGAAGACCCTATGGTGTTGGCTTACTAATAGCTGGATATGATGTAAGTTATTTTTCAAATATATCTATTCTCTTCATTAGTCTGTTTTCTATGGTAATATAAGAATACATATTACAATCAACAATTTTGGTGAATTTTGCCTTGTTCATAAAGTACAAGATTCAAACTCTGGATCATAAGAATTTAGCAACCAATGCAAATATACAATTTGAAGTCTATAATCGCATATTGATAAGGCTTGTATTTGTCTTTAGAAACATTATCGTTGATTGCATTTCATTGAGGTATACAATCTCGATGTAATTGCATCAAATATATTCTATTTGATTAGATATATCTTATTTGGAAAACAAGATAGTTTTTGTATCAATGTTTATACAGGATAAGGGGCCTCATATTTACCAAACATGTCCTTCATCAAATTTCTTTGATTGCAAAGCAATGGCTATTGGTGCACGTTCCCAAAGTGCTCGAACGTACCTAGAGAAACATCTGAGTGAATTCATGTCATGTGACCTTGATGAACTTGTAAAGCATGGTCTTCGTGCTTTAAGAGATACATTACCCAATGAAGTTGATTTATCAGTGAAGGTAAACTGATTACACTTTTTATGCATACTTGTATATAAAATAGTTTCATATTTTCGAGAACTTATAGCTAATAAAACAATCACTTTTTTACAGAATGTTTCTATTGCTGTAGTAGGAAAGAATACAGATTTTATAGTATTTGACGAAGGAACAACCTCTATTTACTTATCGCAAATTGAAGATGATAAACGTGGAAGACCAACTGAACCTGATTCAGAACAAGATTCAAGACCTCCACAACCACCACCATCTGATGAAGGTCCACGAGATCCACAAGTTGCAGTTGCAATGGATACTGATTAAATATATTGTAATATATTTTATGCAAACATAAAAGAAGAATACGCATTTTGTGTTTAAAATTTGTATCTTTACTATTCATATCATTTTTAATACAATAGAAGTTATTACTGGGTCATGAAAATTTTCTTAAACAATTCTCCATACATAAAACATCTAGTTTTCTATGTTGTGCAATTGCTAGTACACACTTTTTACATTCTAACAAAATTTACAATTTATATTACAGTATTCACAAATACAAATCTATACTTAAAAACTGTAGTTGCATCACAACATCATTGTTTTTCAAATTTTTTCTCTCTTTGTTTCTTTAAAATGTTCGTTAAGAAAAATTCTCCAGCTTTATAAGATGATCGTACTAATGGACCACTTGCAGTGTATAAGAATCCCATCTCATTTCCTACGTTTTCCCATTTTTTAAACTTCTTTGGTGTGACATACTCAATAACTTTTAAATGTCTTTTTGTGGGTTGCATGTATTGGCCAAGTGTTACAGCACCTACACCAATATCTCTTAAGTCTTTCATAGTTTGTTCAATTTCTTCATCAGTTTCACCTAATCCCAACATTATTGACGATTTTGTAATTAATTCTGGATTTAGCTTCTTCGCAGTTTTTAACACGTGCAGTGACTGTCTATGTAATATATAAATATAAGTATTTACATATCATGTATTTTTTTAAACATTATATTATCAATGTGAGGTACCTGTACTGAGCTCGTCTATCTCTAACGAATGGTGTTAAACGTTCAATGGTTTCGATGTTATGAGCAAAAACATCAAGATTAGAGTCAACAATTGTTGCAATACAATTGTCATTTCCTCTAAAATCTGGTACCAAACATTCCACTAAAATGTTGCTCCTATAAAAATGTATAAAATCCATTATAAATATTTGTTGTCTCCTAAATAATATTCTTAAAAGTAAATTTCTCGAAATAGTTTATATACCTCTTTTTAAGTTCTCTTACTGTTTCTGCAATATGACTTGCTCCACCATCATTTAAATCTATAAAATACAAAATTTCAAGTTATTGTCGCTTTCATATATACAGTTTACGTTTTCATGAGTACTTATAAACATTATTAACTAACCATCTCTGTCAACAGATGTAAGTACAACATAATCCAAACCCCATTCTGCTATCGCAGTTGCTGTATTTACTGGTTCTTCTGGATCTAATGGTAATGGTGCGCGAGATGTTTTTACAGAACAGAAACGACAACCACGAGTACAAGTATCGCCCATTAACTACATTAAATTGTTGACTACTATTATTATATACTAGCGATCCAATAAATGAGCGAATCTCATTTAAAAAAAAATTATACATTATATAATTACCTAATAACAAAGTAAGAAATATATCTTACAAGTTTAATCTTAAGAAGAATTAATTTATTTAAAATGGCAAATAACTCTATCATACAAATATATATTAATTATTAAGAGTTAAAAGTTTAATTAAAAGTGAAAATAAGAAGTAATAAAATGAATGAAAACAATTATACAAACCATGATAGTAGCAGTTGCTGTACCATGAGTGTCGCCTCCCCAACATTCTCCGATGTTAGGACATCGTGCCTCTTCGCACACTGTACTTAACTTTAATTGTCTTAATTGTGCCTTTATTCTATTATAACTAGAACCCATTGGTATCTCTGTTTTGAGCCAAGGTGGTAGCCTTAAGCGAGAACTGTCTCCTTTTTCTAACTTTAATTTTCCATTGTAATCTTTATACGTTTCATCGATGAAGTCCCCCAAATTGGGACCATCTTCTAATTTTTGAGAAAATGTTTTTTCTTTTACACATTGTACACTCTGTAGGAGAAAAATACATTTCTAAGATTTTTAATATTGACCCAGGCAAAAAATGTTATAAAATGCAACCTTAAGTATTTTCTCAAAAATATTGTTCAATTGCAATCTTTCAAAAGTATTAAAATATTAATGTAACATAAAACTAACACATTTCTGAACAATAGGATTTTATAAAATAAGATGTATTATAAAATCAAAACATAATTTATAGGTGATTCTGTTAAGATGTTTAGTACAATTTCAATTACAAGAAGAAGATATATGCGTATATTGGAAAAATTTGAGAACAGCATAACATTATTATTAAAACAAATATATATCAATAAAAATTTAATTATATAAATCGCATCCATTATGTTTTTTTCAACATTATGTACATACATACATATATTTACGTATACATATTTACAAAGAAACATACAGATATAATTTTTTTGTGTAAAAATAGATAAAGACTTTACAATTTAAAAATAATAAAAAATAACAAAAGTTGACATTTTCACACTTGTAATCATTAATGTATTACATAGGCAGAAATAAATGGCTTACTGCGGCGTGAAAATTACAAATGGATGATATTCTTGTTCTACTTGTATTACGAAGTATTGGAAACATGTTTACTTATGAATTAACATTTAAACAACCTTCAAAAATACACCGGAAACTTCTTACACCATAAAGTGTGACTACTGAAAGACCAACTAACTCAGACCTCTCAGCATCCCGATCACTTTACGATATTTTTCCATGAAAGTAGAGCTGGGAGACTTACTCATCACAAATGGGACTGGATGATGCCAATGTATTTCCATTGACTATCCATTGGAATCGTTCAATCCCATTTGCGAGGTCCCCTCTCCGCCACTTGGAGCAGATTACGAACAGTATGATCTTGCTTCTCATTGGTCGCTGTTTTCTTGTTAAATACTCGTAAACAAAACCGCGGATTGTATTTTCGCTAAAGAAAAAGTTAAATGATCTCACGAACCCCTCATTTCCTGGGAGTATCATTATTTTGGGACACCCTGTATTTAGTTAATACCGAGATTAAGAGTAATGAAAGATTT